TAAAGAGCCAAGTTTAGCCTCATCAGAAACTCAAAATCTTCCAGGGGAGTTCAATGTAACTTCTACCGGTACTGAAGCTCCCAGTAGTACTCAGAAATCTACCACGAAAAAACACTCCGAGGGTCCAAGTTTAACAAATGCAAGTATTCAAAATCCTACAGGAGGAATCAATGTAACTACTACCAGTACTGCTCCTCTCGGCGACACTCAGCAAACTACGATGAAAAGACCCTCCTCAGAGGGGCCAAGTTTGACATCGTCAAAAACTCCTTATCTCCCTGAAGGAGTCAATGCAACTACTACCAGTACTGCTGCTCCCAGTGACACTGAGCCAACTATCACTGAAGAACCATTTGAGGAAACAGGCTTACACTCATCACAAACTCCAAAGCTCCCTGGAGGCATCAATGCAACTACTGCCAGTACTGCAGCTTCAAGTGAGCCAAAAGAAACTACCACAGAAAAATCCTCTGAGGAGCCAAGTTTAGCCTCATCAGAAACTCAAAATCTTCCAGGGGAGTTCAATCTAACTTCGACTGGTACTGCAGCTCCCAGTAGTACTCAGAAATCTACCACGAAAAAGCACTCCGAGGGTTCAAGTTTAACAAATACAAATATTCCAAATCCTACAGGAGGAATCAATGTAACTACTACCAGTACTGCTCCTCTCGGCGACACTCAGCAAACTACGATGAAAAGACCCTCTTCAGAGGGGCCTAGTTTGACCTTGTCAAAAACTCCTTATCTCCCTGAAGGAGTCAATGCAACTACTACCAGTACTGCTGTTCCCAGTGACACTGAGCCAACTATCACTGAAGAACCATTTGAGGAAACAGGCTTACACTCATCACAAACTCCAAAGCTCCCTGGAGGCGTCAATGCAACTACTGCCAGTACTGCAGCTTCAAGTGAGACAAAAGAAACTACCACAGAAAAGTCCTCTGAAGAGCCAAGTTTAGCCTCATCAGAAACTCAAAATCTTCCAGGGGAGTTCAATCTAACTTCGTCTGGTACTGCAGCTCCCAGTAGTACTCAGAAATCTACCACGAAAAAACACTCCGAGGGTCCAGGTTTAACAAATGCAAATATTCAAAATCCTACAGGAGGAATCAATGTAACTACTACCAGTACTGCTCCTCTCGGCGAAACTCGGCAAACTACGATGAAAAGACCCTCCTCAGAGGGGCCAAGTTTGACCTCATCAAAAACTCCTTATCTCCCTGGAGGAGTCATGGCAACTACTACCAGTACTGCTGCTCCCAGTGACACTGAGCCAACTATCACTGAAGAACCATTTGAGGAAACAGGCTTACACTCATCCCAAACTCCAAAACCCCCGGGAGGCGTCAATGCAACCACTGCCAGTACTGCAGCTTCAAGTGAAACAAAAGAAACTACCACAGAAAAATCCTCTGGGGAGCCAGGTTTAGCCTCATCAGAAACTCAAAATCTTCCAGGGGAGTTCAATCTAACTTCGACTGGTACTGCAGCTCCCAGTAGTACTCAGAAATCTACCACGAAAAAACACTCCGAGGGTCCAAGTTTAACAAATGCAAATATTCAAAATCCTACAGAAGGAATTAATGTAACTACTATCAGTACTGCTCCTCTCGGTGACGCTCAGCAAACTACGATGAAAAAGCCCTCCTCAGAGGGGCCGAGATTGACCTCATCAGAAACTCCTTATCTCCCTGGAGGAGTCAATGCCACTACTAGCAGTACTGCTGCTCCCAGTGACACTGAGCCAACTATCACTGAAGAACCATTTGAGGAAACAGGCTTACACTCATCACAAACTCCACAGCTCCCTGGAGGCATCAATGCAACTACTGCCAGTACTGCAGCTTCAAGTGAGACAAAAGAAACTACCACAGAAAAATCCTTTGAGGAGCCAAGTTTAGCCTCATCAGAAACTCAAACTCTTCCAGGGGAGTTCAATCTAACTTCAACTGGTACTGCAGCTCCCAGTAATACTCAGAAACCTACCACGAAAAAGCACTCCGAGGGTCCAAGTTTAACAAATGCAAATATTCCAAATCCTACAAGAGGAGTCAATGTAACTACTACCAGTACTGCTCCTCTCGGCGACACTCAGCAAACTACGATGAAAAGACCCTCCTCAGAGGGGCCAAGTTTGACCTCATCAAAAACTCCTTATCTCCCTGGAGGAGTCAATGCAACTACTACCAGTACTGCTGTTCCCAGTGACACTGAGCCAACTATCACTGAAGAACCATTTGAGGAAACAGGCTTACACTCATCACAAACTCCAAAGCTCCCTGGAGGCGTCAATGCAACTACTGCCAGTACTGCAGCTTCAAATGAGACAAAAGAAACTACTACAGAAAAGTCCTCTGAAGAGCCAAGTTTAGCCTCATCAGAAACTCAAAATCTTCCAGCGGAGTTCAATATAACTTCTACCGGTACTGAAGCTCCCAGTAGTACTCAGAAATCTACCACGAAAAAACACTCCGAGGGTCCAAGTTTAACAAATGCAAGTATTCAAAATCCTACAGGAGGAATCAATGTAACTACTACCAGTACTGCTCCTCTCGGCGACACTCAGCAAACTACGATGAAAAGACCCTCCTCAGAGGGGCCAAGTTTGACATCGTCAAAAACTCCTTATCTCCCTGAAGGAGTCAATGCAACTATTACCAGTACTGCTGCTCCCAGTGACACTGAGCCAACTATCACTGAAGAACCGTTTGAGGAAACAGGCTTACACTCATCACAAACTCCAAAGCTCCCTGGAGGCATCAATGCAACTACTGCCAGTACTGCAGCTTCAAGTGAGCCAAAAGAAACTACCACAGAAAAATCCTCTGAGGAGCCAAGTTTAGCCTCATCAGAAACTCAAAATCTTCCAGGGGAGCTCAATCTAACTTCGACTGGTACTGCAGCTCCCAGTAGTACTCAGAAATCTACCACGAAAAAGCACTCCGAGGGTTCAAGTTTAACAAATACAAATATTCCAAATCCTACAGGAGGAATCAATGTAACTACTACCAGTACTGCTCCTCTCGTCGACACTCAGCAAACTACGATGAAAAGACCCTCCTCAGAGGGGCCTAGTTTGACCTTGTCAAAAACTCCTTATCTCCCTGAAGGAGTCAATGCAACTACTACCAGTACTGCTGTTCCCAGTGACACTGAGCCAACTATCACTGAAGAACCATTTGAGGAAACAGGCTTACACTCATCCCAAACTCCAAAGCCCCCGGGAGGCGTCAATGCAACCACTGCCAGTACTGCAGCTTCAAGTGAAACAAAAGAAACTACCACAAAAAAATCCTCTGGGGAGCCAAGTTTAGCCTCATCAGAAACTCAAAATCTTCCAGGGGAGTTCAATCTAACTTCGACTGGTACTGCAGCTCCCAGTAGTACTCAGATATCTACCACGAAAAAACACTCCGAGGGTCCAAGTTTAACAAATGCAAATATTCAAAATCCTACAGGAGGAATTAATGTAACTACTATCAGTACTGCTCCTCTCGGTGACGCTCAGCAAACTACGATGAAAAAGCCCTCCTCAGAGGGGCCAAGATTGACCTCATCAGAAACTCCTTATCTCCCTGGAGGAGTCAATGCCACTACTACCAGTACTGCTGCTCCCAGTGACACTGAGCCAACTATCACTGAAGAACCATTTGAGGAAACAGGCTTACACTCATCACAAACTCCACAGCTCCCTGGAGGCATCAATGCAACTACTGCCAGTACTGCAGCTTCAAGTGAGACAAAAGAAACTACCACAGAAAAATCCTTTGAGGATCCAAGTTTAGCGTCATCAGAAACTCAAAATCTTCCAGGGGAGTTCAATCTAACTTCAACTGGTACTGCAGCTCCCAGTAGTACTCAGAAATCTAACACGAAAAAGCACTCCGAGGGTCCAAGTTTAACAAATGCAAATATTCCAAATCCTACAGGAGGAATCAATGTAACTACTACCAGTACTGCTCCTCTCGGCGACACTCAGCAAACTACGATGAAAAGACCCTCCTCAGAGGGGCCAAGTTTGACCTCATCAAAAACTCCTTATCTCCCTGGAGGAGTCAATGCAACTACTACCAGTACTGCTGTTCCCAGTGACACTGAGCCAACTATCACTGAAGAACCATTTGAGGAAACAGGCTTACACTCATCACAAACTCCAAAGCTTCCTGGAGGCGTCAATGCAACTACTGCCAGTACTGCAGCTTCAAATGAGACAAAAGAGGCTACTACAGAAAAGTCCTCTGAAGAGCCAAGTTTAGCCTCATCAGAAACTCAAAATCTTCCAGGGGAGTTCAATGTAACTTCTACCGGTACTGCAGCTCCCAGTAGTACTCAGAAATCTACCACGAAAAAACACTCCGAGGGTCCAAGTTTAACAAATGCAAGTATTCAAAATCCTGCAGGAGGAATCAATGTAACTACTACCAGTACTGCTCCTCTCGGCGACACTCAGCAAACTACGATGAAAAGACCCTCCTCAGAGGGGCCAAGTTTGACCTCGTCAAAAACTCCTTATCTCCCTGAAGGAGTCAATGCAACTACTACCAGTACTGCTGTTCCCAGTGACACTGAGCCAACTATCACTGAAGAACCATTTGAGGAAACAGGCTTACACTCATCACAAACTCCAAAGCTTCCTGGAGGCGTCAATGCAACTACTGCCAGTACTGCAGCTTCAAATGAGACAAAAGAGGCCACTACAGAAAAGTCCTCTGAAGAGCCAAGTTTAGCCTCATCAGAAACTCAAAATCTTCCAGGGGAGTTCAATGTAACTTCTAGCGGTACTGCAGCTCCCAGTAGTACTCAGAAATCTACCACGAAAAAACACTCCGAGGGTCCAAGTTTAACAAATGCAAGTATTCAAAATCCTACAGGAAGAATCAATGTAACTACTACCAGTACTGCTCCTCTCGGCGACACTCAGCAAACTACGATGAAAAGACCCTCCTCAGAGGGGCCAAGTTTGACCTCGTCAAAAACTCCTTATCTCCCTGAAGGAGTCAATGCAACTACTACCAGTACTGCTGTTCCCAGTGACACTGAGCCAACTATCACTGAAGAACCATTTGGGGAAACAGGCTTACACTCATCACAAACTCCAAAGGTCCCTGGAGGCGTCAATGCAACTACTGCCAGTACTGCAGCTTCAAGTGAGACAAAAGAAACTACCACAGAAAAGTCCTCTGAAGAGCCAAGTTTAGCCTCATCAGAAACTCAAAATCTTCCGGGAGAGTTCAATGTAACTTCTACCGGTACTGCAGCTCCCAGTAGTACTCAGAAATCTACCACGAAAAAACACTCCGAGGGTCCAAGTTTAACAAATGCAAGTATTCAAAATCCTACAGGAGGAATCTATGTAACTACTACCAGTACTGCTCCTCTCGGCGACACTCAGCAAACTACGATGAAAAGACCCTCCTCAGAGGGGCCAAGTTTGACCTCGTCAAAAACTCCTTATCTCCCTGAAGGAGTCAATGCAACTACTACCAGTACTGCTGTTCCCAGTGACACTGAGCCAACTATCACTGAAGAACCATTTGAGGAAACAGGCTTACACTCATCACAAACCTCAAAGCTCCCTGGAGGCATGAATGCAACCACTGCCAGTAGTGCAGCTTCAAGTGAGACAAAAGAAACTACCACAGAAAAATCCTCTGAAGAGCCAAGTTTAGCCTCATCAGAAACTCAAGGTCTTCCAAGGGAGTTCAATGTAACTTCTACCGGTACTGCAGCTCCCAGTAGTACTCAGAAATCTACCACGAAAAAACACTCCGAGGGTCCAAGTTTAGCAAATGCAAATATTCAAAATCCTACAGGAGGAATCAATGGACCTACTACCAGTACTGCTCCTCTCGGTGACGCTCAGCAAACTACGATGAAAAAGCCCTCCTCAGAGGGGCCAAGATTGACCTCATCAGAAACTCCTTATCTCCCTGGAGGAGTCAATGCCACTACTACCAGTACTGCTGCTCCCAGTGACACTGAGCCAACTATCACTGAAGAACCATTTGAGGAAACAGGCTTACACTCATCACAAACTCCAAAGCTCCCTGGAGACGTCAATGCAAATACTGTCAGTACTGTAGCTTCAAGTGAGACAAAGGAAACTACCACAGAAAAATCCTCTGAAGAGCCAAGTTTAGCCTCATCAGAAACTCAAGGTCTTCCAGGGGAGTTCAATGTAACTTCTACCGGTACTGCAGCTCCCAGTAGTACTCAGAAATCTACCATGAAAAAACACTCCGTGGGTCCAGGTTTAACAAATGCAAATATTCAAAATCCTACAGGAGGAATCAATGGAACTACTACCAGTACTGCTCCTCTCGGCGACACTCAGCAAACTACGATGAAAAGACCCTCCTCAGAGGGGCCAAGTTTGACCTCATCAAAAACTCCTTATCTCCCTGGAGTAGTCAAGGCAACTACTACCAGTACTGCTGCTCCCAGTGACACTGAGCCAACTATCACTGAAGAACCATTTGAGGAAACAGGCTTATACTCATCACAAACTCCAAAGCTCCCGGGAGGCGTCAATGCAACCGCTGCCAGTACTGCAGCTTCAAGTGAGACAAAAGAAACTACCACAGAAAAATCCTCTGATGAGCCAAGTTTAGCCTCATCAAAAACTCAAAATATTCCAGGGGAGTTCAATCTAACTTCGACTGGTACTGCAGCTCCCAGTAGTACTCAGAAATCTACCACGAAAAAACACTCCGAGGGTCCAAGTTTAACAAATGCAAATATTCAAAATCCTACAGGAGGAATCAATGGAACTACTACCAGTACTGCCCCTCTCGGTGACGCTCAGCAAACTACGATGAAAAAGCCCTCCTCAGAGGGGCCAAGATTGACCTCATCAGAAACTCCTTATCTCCCTGGAGGAGTCAATGCCACTACTACCAGTACTGCTGCTCCCAGTGACACTGAGCCAACTATCACTGAAGAACCATTTGAGCAAACAGGCTTACACTCATCACAAACTCCAAAGCTCCCTGGAGACGTCAATGCAAATACTGTCAGTACTGTAGCTTCAAGTGAGACAAAGGAAACTACCACAGAAAAATCCTCTGAAGAGCCAAGTTTAGCCTCATCAGAAACTCAAAATATTCCAGCGGAGTTTAATGTAACTTCTACCGGTACTGCAGCTCCCAGTAGTACTCAGAAATCTACCACGAAAAAACACTCCGAGGGTCCAAGTTTAGCAAATACAAATATTCAAAATCCAACAGGAGGAATCAATGTAACTACTACCAGTACTGCTCCTCTCGGCGACACTCAGCAAACTACGATGAAAAGGCCCTCCTCAGAGGGGCCAAGATTGACCTCATCAAAAACTCCTTATCTCTCTGGAGGAGTCAATGCAACTACTACCAGTACTGCTGCTCCCAGTGACACTGAGCCAACTATCACTGAAGAACCATTTGAGGAAACGGGCTCACACTCATCACAAACTCCAAAGCTCCCTGGAGGCGTCAATACAACTACTGCCAGTATTGCAGCTTCAAGTTATACAAAAGAAACTACCACAGAAAAATCCTCTGAAGAGCCAATTTTAGCTTCATCAGAAACTCAAAATCTTCCAGGGGAGTTCAATGTAACTTCTACCGGTACTGCAGCTCCCAGTAGTACTCAGAAATCTACCACGAAAAAACACTCCGAACATCCAAGTTTAACAAATGCAAATATTCAAAATCCTACAGGAGGAATCAATGTAACTACTACCAGTACTGCTCGTCTCGGTGACACTCAGCAAACTACGATGAAAAACCCCTCCTCACAGGGGCCAAGGTTGACCTCATCAGAAACTCCTTATCTCCCTGGAGGAGTCAATGCCACTACTACCGGTACTGCTGCTCCCAGTGACACTGAGCCAACTATCACTGAAGAACCATTTGAGGAAACAGGCTTACACTCATCACAAACTCCAAAGCTCCCTGGAGGCATCAATGCAACTACTGCCAGTACTGCAGCTTCAAGTGAGACAAAAGAAACTACCGCAGAAAAATCCTCTGAAGAGCCAAGTTTAGCCTCATCAGAAACTCAAAATCTTCCAGGGGAGTTCAATCTAACTTCTACTGGTACTGCAGCTCCCAGTAGTACTCAGAAATTTACCACGAAAAAACACTCCGAGGGTCCAAGTTTAACAAATGCAAATATTCCAAATCCTACAGGAGGAATCAATGTAACTACTACCAGTACTGCTCCTCTCGGCGACAGTCAGCAAACTACAATGAAAAGGCCCTCCTCAGAGGGGCCCAGTTTGACCTCATCAAAAACTCCTTATCTCCCTGGAGGAGTCAATGCAACTACTACCAGTACTGCTGCTCCCAGTGACACTGAGCCAACTATCACTGAAGAACCATTTGAGGAAACAGGCTTACACTCATCACAAACTCCAAAGCTCCCTGGAGGCGTCAATGCAACTACTGCCAGTACTGCAGCTTCAAGTGAGACAAAAGAAACTACCACAGAAAAATCCCCTGAAGAGCCAAGTTTAGCCTCATCAGAAACTCAAAACCTTCCAGGGGAGTTCAATGTAACTTCTAGCGGTACTGCAGCTCCCAGTAGTACTCAGAAATCTACCACGAAAAAGCACTCCGAGGGTCCAAGTTTAACAAATGCAAATATTCCAAATCCTACAGGAGGAATCAGTGTAACTACTACCAGCACTGCTCCTCTCGGCGACACTCAGCAAACTACGATGAAAAAGCCCGTCTCAGAGGGGCCACGTTTGACCTCATCAGGAACTCCTTATCTCCCTAAAGGAGTCAATGCAACTACTACCAGTACTGCTGGTCCCAGTGACACTGAGCCAACTATCACTGAAGAGCCATTTGAGGAAACAGGCTTACACTCATCACAAACTCCAAAGCTCCCTGGAGGCATCAATGTAACTACTGCCAGTACAGCAGCTTCAAGTGAGACAAAAGAAACTTCCACAGAAAAATCCTCTGAAGAGCCAAGTTTAGCCTCATCAGAAACTCAAAATATTCCAGCGGAGTTCAATGTAACTTCTACCGGTACTGCAGCTCCCAGTAGTACTCAGAAATCTACCACGAAAAAACACTCCGAGGGTCCAAGTTTAACAAATGCAAATATTCGAAATCCTACAGGAGGAATCAATGTAACTACTACCAGTACTGCTCCTCTCGGTGACGCTCAGCAAACTACGATGAAAAAGCCCTCCTCAGAGGGGCCAAGATTGACCTCATCAGATACTCCTTATCTCCCTGGAGGAGTCAATGTCACTACTATTAGTACTGCTGCTCCCAGTGACACTGAACCAACTATGACTGAAGAACCGTTTGAGGAAACAGGCTTACACTCATCACAAACTCCAAAGCTCCCTGGAGGCGTCAATGCAACTACTGCCAGTACTGCAGCTTCAAGTGAGACAAAAGAAACTACCAAAGAAAAATCCCCTGTAGAGCCAAGTTTAGCCTCATCAGAAGCTCAAAATCTTCCAGGGGAGTTCAATGTAACTTCTACCGGTACTGCAGCTCCCAGTAGTACTCAGAAATCTACCACGAAAAAATACTCCGAGGGCCCAAGTTTAACAAAAGCAACTATTCAAAATCCTACAGGAGGAACCAATGCAACTACTACCACTGCTGCGCCTCCAAATGTCAGCGAGCTGTCTATCACCAAAAAACCCTTTTCGAAACCAGGAAGAACACCACCACCATTTGACGATGCTCACGGAGATGTCACTAAGAGTATTCTTAGTACTGCATGCCCCAGTGTCAGCGAGCAATCAACAAAAAAAGGAGCCCCTGAAACGCCCAGCTCAACGCATCTACCAAAAGGAAGTATTACCGAAGAGGGCAGTGACACGAAACCAAGTACTGCACATTCTGCTGTTACTGATCAATCGTCTACGGAAAATCCTTCCTATTTTGATTCAAATGGTAATATTGGAAATGGTAGCGGAGGTTCGTTTGATGGAAAGGAGTCCAACGAAAATGAGAAGGGAGGCAAGTACATCAGTGTGGAGGGAGGGTCCAGTGAAAGTGAACGCGACACGGATGAAAACAGACACTCGAGTTCTGTAAAGAGACGGCTACCTAGGCACAAAGCGTCTCGCAGACGCCGCAGGCACCGCAGACTCTTAAGAAGATTGTACAAGGTTTTGCGTTATTTCTGGAATAAGGATCGCAGCAGTAGCAGTAGCAGTAGTAGTAGCAGCAGCAGTAGTAGTAGCAGCAGCAGCAGCTATAATGACGCCACGACAAGCGAAGAAGCATCTCATCCAGGCAAGTGGTCTGGTAGGTTGAGCTTTATGTTTTTGTGACATATACGTTATAGTGCAATTTCGTGCTTTCCTGGGGCATATTGAGGTGGCAGTATATTGGTAAGCTAGTCATGATAAGTACATCGATATTGTTTCGAGATATATCGGACATAGACTTACTAAAAGTGGGTTTGGAAAAAAATGACTATAAATTGAAGCTTCCAAATGATGATCCACGGATATGCTGTTAAATTTTAATCAGGATGGGAGTCGAGGCTTATAGGAATGATCTAGAAAGGAACGTCATTAAATACCGAAAAATGTCTCGGAGGTGTCCATTGGATTTATTTTCAAATATTCTGTTGGTGGAAAATAGTATTTGCTATTTCAACTGTACCTGTCCGCTAATATTTCACGTAATTGTCACAAGAATCGGCCGCCAGTCGTCATAAATTCCTGCCCGAGCGGAGGTGGGTGTCTAGGCTTCAGAGAAAAGGAAAAGCTTTTTCTGACAACGAATGCTCGGAGCCCATTTCAATCTATTGGCGGTCTACTTGATACGCGTGCCCAAGACAAGGACAAAAAATGCAACGTATTTCAAATCGGAGACTACTACAAGTCACTAACTCTACCTTAAAACAGGCGCATAGAACTATGGCGTCCAAATTCGTAGTCTTGTCTCCGAATTTTTGCTTTAGCTGTGATACCAGCATAAAACACGTACAGATGTTCTTATGCAGAAATGGTTGTTCAATTTGGTACGAAGTATAAATTTTATGGAAACTCACAAAAAAATGAAAGACGTTTACAACCCCCTGCAATGCCGAATTCGAGCGCAGCTCTTGAGGAGGAGGAGGTGGAAGGGAGGGACAGAGGGGACGGTACGCCTCTCCTTTTCATCTACTCATCCCGTGCTCCTCGCCTCCTCCCTCTCGTCTCCTCCTCCCTCCTTCTTCCTCCTCCTCCATCCTCCTCCCCCTCATTCTCCTCCTCCTCCCCCCCGCGCGGTGCATTATGGAAAACGTCCCATAATGCAACGCGCGCGTCTTTGTGGTGCATTATCAGAATCAGAATCAGAATCAGAATCGGTTTATTTTTGTCACAGCGCTTTTACACACATGTGACAAGGGGGGCCAGGAAAAAAAGCTGCAAGTTTGCAGCTTGACGGGTTCCTGCCCCCCAAAACACAGGGCAGAGCGGCACTGTTACCAAAAACACACACACAAAAAAGACAGTGCAAATAACTTATGTAACATGACATTTAGCAATATATTAAGTATCGTCTCAATACACATTGAAATAGATAGATATAACAAACATAAGACAAACAATCTTTTTATTACCTGAAAGTTTAAATTGTACGGACATTTAACGAAAGTTTACCAACACTCATCTCCAGGCACGAAAGAAAAACACAATAAAGATAACTTATATAAGATATCGTATAAAATAAGTGCCATTGAAAATAGGTTGCGCTGCAAAAACAGACTGAAATAGTAGATATTTCAAACATATGACAAACATTTTCACTCAATATAATAAAGCCTGAGCTCTATGGGAATATAAGGTGTTCAACAGTGACGGTAATCTGTAACTCAACCTCTGGAAGCCAAATTTAGTTCTAGATGATGGGACTCCCCATGGATCCCAATGACGTGAGGGATATAAGGATACATTATTTTCAAGTTTAGCGAGGTCGAAAATTACTGTAATATGTTCTCGTAAGGCACGATGATATATGACCGTTAATCTATTAGAGTACATGTTAGATACGTCAAGTATTTTATGCTTTATAAATAAAGGAAGAGAACTATGGTCACGTGGGACATTTTCAATTATCCTTATTGCCTTTTTTTTTTTTTTTGCATTAACCTCAACCTGTCAAAGTTACTTTTTGTTGTTGTCCCCCATACCAGATGGCAATAACAAAGAATTGAATGAAAAAGAGAATTATATACTAATTTTTTTATAGTTACAGGAAATACATCTCTATATTTGTTCATTATCCCTACTACTTTACAAAGTTTTTTATGTATGTAAGAAACATGGGGATTCCACGACATGTGTTCAGAGAACAGAACGCCGAGGGTCTTTCAGCTGTCAACGCATTCTACTATATTTGGCCCAAAGTACAAATCACTGGACAATGCGATATCCGTGATCCTGGACATTTAAAAAGGACTGCTTTTCTTTTGGACGGGTTTATCGACAGAGAATTTATGGTAAACCAGTGTGTTAACTTGCGTAAAAAATTGTTTCCTTTGGAAGTGACTAGGTCTTCTCTTGGGTCAGAAAAAAAGATGCTGGTATCATCTGCATACATAATCAGCTTGGCGGAAGTTTCTATATTTGTAATATCATTGACGTAAATAATAAACAACAAGGTACCTAATATGCTTCCCTGGGGAACCCCAGAAGAAATACGCTGCATGTTAGATGACGAGTTTCCAATTTGAACATATTGGTGGCGATATTGTAGGTAGGATGCAAGGAGTGATAAGGGAATACCATGTATACCGTAACATTTTAACTTGTCAAGAAGAGTCCGGTGGTTTATTCGATCGAACGCTTTGCTAAAGTCTATGAAAATCTCTAAAGTTAAAAGTTTATTCCCAAAATTTTCTAATATTAATTCTTTCTGTACAAGTAAAGCTGTTTCTGTGTATCTATATTTCCTAAAACCGAATTGTGATTCCGACAACAAGGAGTATTTGCCAAGAAAATTGAAAAGTCGAGAGCACATAATTTTTTCAATGGGCTTTGAAAATATAGGAAGGATGGAAATTGGACGGTAGTTATGTGACGTTCCCCATAATGCACCGCGCGGTTAGGCCGACGCCTTAAGGTTACGCCGACGCCATTCAAGCCGGAAACGGGCGCCTAAGAGCTGCGCTCTAAAAGATCTGCAATAGAAACCCTCTAAAAACCCTCAAAATGTCAGAGAATGTTCCCTTCTCTTCGGTCACTAGATAGATGCGTAGCAAAGAACGAAATCTATAGTAAAAACGGGCTGTTTCTACGGAGATACGCTGCAGACAATGGGACCATATAGTTTACTTCTTTTAGGGGTCTTATTTGGCTACGCCGACGGCGACGGGGACGCCGACGCCGCTATACGCGGAAACGGGCGCCTAGGAGCTGCGATCTAAAAGTAAATATATAAAATATAGACGCCAGGAAATCAGATAAGACGTGTTCACAGAAACATGTTTGGTGAACTCTGGGGTTAAGTGTCCTGGCAATTACGAAGTTATGTAGCTGGGAAGTGGTGTCTTATCGTCGGGATTCCGTAGGTTCTTCGACTGCAGGGCGCCTTCAAAACATCGGTATTGAGGGTACTATACATGTCTTATTCTGTGTTAAAGCGGCTACGGTGCATGGACAATTGCAAGAAATATTCATTTTGAGCTTAACGTGCACCTGTATTTTTTTCCTTTTTTTTGTTTTTGCAGAACGTAGGCGGATGGTATTCCTAAGGCAGGCATCGCGCATGCTTCACAGAGGACACCATGCCAAAGACGCCACTAACACAAATGAAAACTACCGTCAAGAATGAGCAGTTTAGTTTGTTCATCAAGGATACACGTCACGTTTTCAAAAAGAAGCGCCATAACTTGGAAGCGCTCATGTGCCCATAATTTAACGCCGCCACTGCAAACATATTTCTGAAAGCGCAATGTTTCTGCTCGGCGTTTTTTTTTTTTTTTTTTTTTAATATGTATGTGTGTGTCTTAACGGTCACACAGTTTGATTTTGTCGTGAATAAAGTTATCGGGCGAAACGACTAGAATATACTGCAATCCAATTGCGCGCTTTTCTTTCCCTCTGCCCCTTTGTTTTTATCGCGTCGGAGGAATTTCTTTAGTTATAACAATAATGATATTCGATCTATCTCTGTTTATTAAGTATTCAGTAATAGCCTATTGACCTTGTGCTGGCACAAAATAGAAACAGCAGCAAAACGTGCAAATTTTAAGAAATCGGATATTTGAAACTGCGAGGATATGCAAGTACTGTTCAGCCATGATAAAGCATGAATCTAAGAGAATGGTCGAGTGTCCTGCTGCATAAGCTAAAATATCGAGGGTTTCAACACTTAGAGTGGAAGTTTAATACTCAGTCGAATCAGGGTTGACAAAAGTGTCCAGGGAAAGAAAAAGAGGACCGAAGCCTTGCAGGTGCGTGGCTTATTCTTCTGACAAGATGGGGAAGTTAATTAAGCAATGAGGGGTCTTGAGCAAAATTGAATCCGCATTCACCCGCCTCTAGTGCAGGCTCAGCAAGTTCGTAATTTCTGAACCAACTTTATTGTTCACGCAGTATGCCTTCCTTACAAGGGTTAGGACACTCCAAAAATGAAATATGAGGTAACTATACTGCTAGAACCCCTTGTATGCTCCTATATGTCTGCTATTTTTTTTTTTTTTTTTTTTGAAAATGGCACTATAGATTTGTGTATAAATTGATTTCTATGCGGGACCCACTGATCCACGCCAATCAGGAAGACCGCCATGTTTGCTGGGTCGGTGACGTCATTCGCCCAACGCGCAGCCTCCCACTGCACGCACTCGCAGATTTGGCCCTCTCGGACTGTCGTGCTTCAACTTCCCCATCTGCATTCCGCGTTTTTTTTTTTTTTTTTTTTTTTTTTTTTACACACAGTTTTGAGGCGATTACGTCTACGGCGTCGCTCGCTTCGACGGAGTCTTCAACACTAATCGCAGCAGCAACGAGAGTGATTGTTATCGAGAGATGTTGGAAGCTGGTCATTTTGACTTGGACACGCTGGAGACCAGCTCCGGGGACGAAAACAAGATTCGGCACGGACGAACTCGCCGTCCTAGGCGATGATCTCGCACGTGCGTGCAGGGTGGAAAGTCAGGGCAAGGGGTCGAGAGTAGCGTCCGAGTGGCCGAGTGGCGTGCGATCGTACCGTAGCGAACTTGGCCGCCTAGAATGACAGCGTAGCCCATATGGGCACCTTGGTGGATGGATGGATGCTAACAGCTGAACCTTTTATAACAGGCGGCAGCTTGCGCCATCCAGCCTAGAAATTAAAAACCAAAAGTATGATTCATCCCTTTGCCCTTACAGCCAATTTGCTTTCCCTCTGCGATTGTGTAACTCTCACCAGAATGACCTAGGGTGATCTGGCAAAAATACTAAAAACATCACCAAGCCAGCTCTTCCCCCCGGGTGAGGGAGTCGCCAATTTTCCTCTGGTCAAACCTAGTCGGCATTACCTCAGCATCGGGCCCACTGAAAGACAGGGTTGAGACTTTGGGCCGGAGCCACGCGGGAGGGAGTCGCTAATTTTCCTTTTTCCCGCCTATCCCCAGCCGTGTTAGTTCTCCCTAGATAATTTTCACCAGTATTTAAATCCCCTTTTTATTATTCGAATCCACTTATCCTCCATTCCTCCATTCTCGTCTGCAAACCCCAGCGCTCCAAGTCCGTTACCCCCCCTGGGAGAGCGGGAGCAACCCCTGTGCGCCTCAACACCAGATGTTCTCTTGTCTCGTCTTCCCCTTGGCATACGACCCCCCCCCCCCCCCCCCCCCAGCCCGTATCCATTTCTTCCCACTTTATCTATGTGTCCTGTACTTCGTCTCACCTTCGCATGGACTATTGTTGGCCGCGCATGCTAAAAGCGCGAGCTAGTTGCTTTGGATGAAACCGGGGCGGGTGCACGAGCGCTCGTGCAGCGAGTGCTCCAGTCAAGGCAGTCAAGGCTAGCCGCTCGCGCTTGCACGGCTTTCGCAGTTAGTCCACGCAAAGGTGAGACAAAGTATAGCCCTTAAAAAGGCGATGCAACAATTTTTGTACTCCGCGCAAATACCGCTTAGAACTAACCCCTGACGTTAATGACCTGTGAAATACCGTTCGTTTTTCACCTCACGCAATAGAAGTCCCAGAAAAAAAAAATTAAAGAAAAGCGAGCAGCGTTCACCCCCTCAACTCGCAGCCAGAACGAGCCTGGAGCCGATTATATGCCGCCAATGTTGATCATAGCCACGCGCTGGGGTTGGCAAGGCACAGGACACGCGCTCAGTTCCAGACATTGTTATGGCTCGGCTAGGGAGCCTTCATGTGCGCTTTGCTCCGAGCGCAGCCAAAGGCTGAGGGACGGTTCGCAACTTTGAGAAGAGCATTCCTACGCACCAGAAAGTAGTTCACAAAAATAATTTATTTTAAAATAACTGTTTTGTGCGTAAAAACTGCACAATGTTCCAGATGTGTACTGCTCAGAATGATTTTCAACTAAGGGAATCGAATCTCTGAAGTTTATGTTTCTATTAATATATGTAAATGCATGTGGTTTGGTGAAAACATGTATATCCGCTGGCAACATTGCTGCAGCGCTCGGTTTTTCTGTGTGATTTCGTTCCCGTAATCGCCGAATCATGTGCTTCGCTGCTTTCCTCACCGAGTCGCTTCAAAACGCCCTTTCGCAAAGGCACGTTTGGGCGTCAGGCGCACTGATCTCTATGACAATTGCTGGATCGCGCTTCCCCGCTTGTTCGCTGCAGCGCAAGTGAAGCCACCGGGCTTCACTCGCTTGGGATACGATTTGCCGTTTTTGCTAGCCTTTGCTGCGGTTTTCCAGCGTGCTGTGGACACGTTTTCTACTCGTTCGTCGTCATTCGCCGAAGAAGTTTTTTGAAGACTCTGTGTATTGTTGAGACTTGCCGTTGTGAACACGTGGAAAATTTTACGAAAGTGCAGTGTCGCAGGAAAAAGGCACAACGCGTCGAAAGGAAGGGCTGGCGGCGTGTTCAAAGCATCCTTGGCACGCCGAAGTGCCGTGTCTCTGTGCCTTCGCACGCTTGGATACCGACCAAGAACCGACGCCGTGTGTATGTGTTCAGCGAGTGCAATGTGCGTGAAGCTGTTCGTGCCTCTGGATCAGCGTCTTTTCCCCTCGCGGTTTAGGAACGAGCTTAATCCAGCGTCCACTAGCGACGGAGGATGGGGAGAAGGTACGTCTTTTTTTCGTCCTTAGACGATTTACACAATTCGTGCACAACAGCTCCTCATCACTGATCAGTGCTGGCTTATTATCAACCTACGCGACTCGCCTAATTGTAATTGGTCAACAGATTGCACACGACCATATCGGCCGCGCTTCAAAGATTTTCATTCTCGCCGTCTTGTACTTTTGCTTTCGAAAACCCCCCTGGCTCCACGTACAACGTTGCCCTATTCGTGCTCCCACGGAATCTATTAGAGTAGATTTGGGACATAGCCATGGTTAATATAGAACATAAGAATACGTACAGATCTCCCCCTTTTATTGATAGCAACTCACCGGAACAGCTGGACGATCCAGAACTCCGTGGCCGATATATATAAATGATCTAAAGGCATCTACGCGCGACACACGTTCAGAACTTTGGCGCGGCGTCAATTCTTGACCGGTATCCAAGCGTGCGAAGGCACAAAGATGCATCACTCAGCGTGCCAAGGAAGCTTTGATCACGCCGCGACACCGGCGACACGTTTTCGACGAGTTGTACCTTTTGATACGGCTTCACGCACATTGCACTGGCCCACACGCTCGTATAACCTGCAAAAACGTGCCATTTGTTTTAGATTTTCTTTAGAAAAGTTACTGTTGCAGGCGCCAGCACGTGTAACTACTCTTGTGGCATGAATATGCTCCTTGGTGCTTAAGTAATTTAGGCCCGCTTCAGACGGGGCAATTTCACCCAGCAACTTCACGTCGCAACACGAGCAACACGGGCCGTCCGCGTTCACACGCAGCAACCGAATTGCTACGACTTGCTATCATCATCATTTACTTCGAATTTTCTTGCACTATTTAGACGCCCTACGCGCTAAAAACATATTTTATATCTTTGAATGGCGTTGGAGAATACTAAGGCCCGCTTCAGACGGGGCAACTTTTCCAGCAATTTTGAGGTTGCTGGCGGGTTGTTCCCTAGCTTTCCCTAGATCGATGCGAATTGCTGAGATCGGGTCCGGCTCGAACTAGAGCACTATATAGCTCCTACGGAGCAGAGTAGCGCAATCCTTTGAACCCCGTGTTTTGCCGACAACATGGCCGACAGAGCGGCTCGGCGCGAGTCACGTGGTACTCAGGGTTCCAGGAGGCGGCCCGCCCTATGGGAGAATACATGGAGATCGACATAACACGGCTGATTAAAAAACTAACGGCGAGTTCACATTTTTCAAAACTAGCCTGTCGTGAAGTTAGTAAAGCGCTAAACACTTTATCAAAGTTTTAATAATATCGGATGCGTGTGCAAATTTTGAGAAGGCAATTTCCAAGGCAATGGCGTTTGAAGCAGACGATTTTTGCTCGCAGCGGAGATGGGCTTTTCGGGTTGGCCGGAGCGGGTCACGTGAATGGTGTGACGTCGCCGTGTCGTCTGCTGCATGATGCCGCTCAGGCAATTTTTTAAAAAAAAGTTACGTCCTTGTATGGCACAAAACTTATCGCATATTATTCTAAAATGTTTCATTATTATGTCAAAAATGATTTCCATTCCGCACATCCCCACAAAACTGAAGGAACAACGATTTTCTCACGTT